TTTTCATGGAAGTGAAAACTAAGAAATCAATAGCTGTTTGACAAAAGGTGCATATTTAAACACTTATGCCAAGTCCACATTCCTGAAGTTTTGAAAATAAGGCCTTTCAAATGTCTGCAGTGTTTTTCAGAATCTTTAAAGACTGTGAGGAAGTTGTCGACAAAAGCATAAACACCTTCTAAATCTCGCGTGACTTCGTCTGTTAAAAAAATGTTGAAAAGTCATGGATGCATTGCTTAAGTTGAATTGCATATGGGTACTTTTGAATAAACCGAATGGTTTGCATATAACAGTTTTATGAATATTGTATTGTTTGATATGTATTTTATGGTATGCCTTAATAAGTTCAACATGACTAAAATTTTGGTACCATGCAGTGCAGCAGTAAAATTAGCTAAGCATGCGATAGGGTATTTATCTTTTATTGTTTGGTCATTAAACACTTGATAATCTGCATGTCTCCCTTCAAAAGTTCCGTTGTTTGAAAACGTGTGAAGTGGGGATGCGTAATTGCTTTTCAAAGGTCTCAAATGCCCCAATTACATCATATTTGGACATGCTAGAGTCGGTATCGACCAAGAATGAAACATTTGTTCTCCAATTAGGAATGAACAGGCAATACAAAATTTGAGGCAAAGAAGTCACCTCTTTTCTTTGTTGGTGGTACATGTGCATTCTCTACATTTTTTCCCCAAAATGCCTATGGCACCAGCAGAAATCATTCGTATTTATTTAGACAGGATTAGTTTATTTTTTTTTAATGAATGCATGATAATATGAGTTGGACACATAGCAAAGTAAAAACTGTATGTTAGGAGTAGTGTTCACTTGCATTGGCCAAGTGGTAGGTCTCATTATTGAGCTTATCTGACCATAGAAGGGAACATTATATCAAAACTTGTTACAGTGATAATATGGGGTATCTTTGGTAAATTTTCCACGCAGAGTATGAAAAGAGAAATTTCCAAGGCAAACACTTTGCATTCATAAATCAGAAACTGAACTATTATGATTGTGGTATAGTGGCCAAAACCGCCACACAAACCCTGGGCTGTGACACAGGGTTGAAAGAAACTTCAAACACAAGTTTTAACAATAACATGAATTTTAATAAGATGAAAACCTTCACAGTTGCATATCTTGACCAGTCAGTGCAATTTGGCAAGCAGGGAAATGCAATCAAAACAAACGTATTTAATGAAAAATTATTTTTAAAATAGTTTATCCTCAAAAGACTGTTAAGTCCCTAGGGTTGGATTTACTTCTAAGATTCTGTCAGCAATTTTTGCAGCTTTGTCTAAAGTTAAACTGAAAACTGCTCCATGATTGAATTATCGAATTCAAACGCAACAATTCATTTTCAAAGTTTCAGATTAAATTTGCTAAGGAGAGAAATTAAGCATTGTTTTGTCTAAAATATTACTGTGAAACTGTGATAAAATTTTATACCTGTCCATCATAATTCTACAAAGTTTGCTTAAAAATTTGACTTTTGAGATTAATTAGAATGGACTGCCTTATACTGTTTAAATTAATGCAAATAAGTTGATATTCTAGTGCATGATGATAACACTTTCAGGCTGTTTGATCAAAATAAAAATAATTTAAATTACTACACTAGTGATGTTTTATGGCTAACCTTATCTTCTGCTTATAAGTATAAAGATAAAGGCTTAAAATGCATTTATACTGGAAGTTTCCTGCATTTAACTGTTAGTTACTATGTATGGCTATTTTAAAAAATTCAGTAAATGAGAAATCAGTGCACAATTAAAAGTAGTAAGAGTAAATTCCATCAGAGTACAAATCTTTAATTATGATCTCAGTCTGCAGTATTAAATACTATTTTAAGATGTATTCATGTACATTCTGATTAAAATAAGAAAGCAAACAGAAAGATAAACAACAAAATTAGAAATGTTAACTGTGAAAAAGATTCAAAAAGTCATGTAGAATGCAAGACTAAGTTTTTGAAGTCTTTCTTACTTTTTTTTCCTAACATTTCGAGGTAGTGTTATGGCTTTCCCTATGCAAATTTCCTATTGAGCAAAATAGAAGTTTTCATTTTATTTGCAGGAAATTTTTGCTGCAAGTCTTGTTTGCAAGTAATCCAGTGAAGATATTCAGTTGTGTCTTGACTCATTATATAATTCTTTATTAAATAAATGAAAAGTTCCCATGTAACATGTATTCATGATGCAATAATACTACATGAAGTTTTTCCTCTGCAATTTTTTGTTTCAAAAGGTGTACTTAAGATGGATACTCTGATGCAAAGAACACAAAATTTTTTGTTTTAGCAGTATTGATGTGGTATTTATCATTAATAAATTTTCAAAAGAATAACTCACAAATTAAGGAGTGCACAAAATGTAATTATTGTAACTGTTAATGTATGCATTTGTTTTCATTACTTGAAATGAATTAGATTTACAATAGTTTAATAAACAGCTTCAGTAAAATTATACAGGTTGATTCTTTTAGAACTGACCTATTTCATAAGGGTGTAGTTTTGCTAAAATGTATCTGATTTTAACGTTGTTTGTGGCAAAAGATTCAGGAAGGTTGAAAATTTAGTGGTCCATCTTATTTTTTGATGTACGATGCCAAAAAAAAAAAGGAGAAATAACGAAAACTGAGAAATGATATACAAGGAGGGATGCCTTGTGCCTTATTCAACATTGTTAAAAACTCTGATTGCCATGTGGCATACCAAACATGATTAGTAAAGGTTTGTAATCACTTACCGTAAAGTAGGTGTTGAAAATGACCACCCTCTTGGCATGAGTATAACCGAACTTGCCACTCCATGTTCGGTGCAACACTCCACAATGTCTCAAGATTGATGATTGTAGTTTAAGTGGGTTTCCTTATTTCTTTGGCATTGCATATCAAAAAACCGGATAGACCACTAAATTTTCATCCTTTCTTAAATCTTTTTCCGCAAACTGCATTAAAATCGAATACTTTTTAACAAAGCTACAGCCCAATGAAATAGGTCAGTTCTAAAAGAATTGCCCTGTGTATTTTAGTAGGTAACAGTAGTTGTCAAATTTTAGCGTAACATATATGCAAGTAGTGTAACGTAAATAAATATGATAAATCTGATCTCTTAATAAATTTTTAGCATGTTGATGTAATTAAGGCAATATGTGTAATAAATCTATTAAAAGAGAGATAGTTTTATGAAGGATATATTTAAAGAAAAGCTAATCATATTTTCATTACACATGGCAGAAACAGGAATTCCATGCAGCTAGACTATTTATAAGGAATTAAGTTAATAAGAATAAAGTACAAGTTCTGGCGGACTTTAGCCATCTGGATGCAAATGAGCTGTTCAATTTAAAAGTTCAATTAAAGTCAGCATTTGGTATTACTTGCATAATTCTCTTTAGTTTTTCTGCATATGATGTAGAAACATCTGATTTATGGTAACAGTATCTATTGTATGCTTACAAATTTTATGTAAGTAAAAAGAATATTATTAAAACTGATAAATTCTTTGAACTATGCAATATAATAATATTAATGTGTCTTTCTGTGTGCTTTTTAAGGCCTATATCACACGCCGTTTGTTTTACACGAACAACTGTTCGGGACAATTTTTCTGCTTGGTTTACTATTGAAAGAAACACATGCGACTTCTTCCTTCCTTTCCAAAAAATTGCAAGTTGTTTGTTTTCAACCAATCACCTATCAGCTTGTTTGTAATGGGAAACCAGTTTCCCCTGCGTTAACCACAAAGCGATCTATGGTGATTGGCTGTTGTGACAAAGCAGAAAAATTGTTCCAAACAGTATGCACCATGCATTTTCCCCCTCCTGGCTTTCAAGTAGTAGAATTAGTAGGATAAGTGTGTGGAATATGCAAGTAAATATGATAAATCTAATTGCAGTAATAATAAACAAATAACATATAAAACTGGAAAAAATTACTTTGAAAATTTTTTAACTTGTGGAAAGAACGATCACAGTGACATTAGAATAATATGCATATGATGAAAAGTGCCAACGTGAAATATTTGCAAAGAAGAGCATTGCAAAGGTCCATCGATAGCATAGAGAGGAGGTGCATTTATGCACTTTGTATAATTCACAAGCATAGACAGTAGAAGCACCAATGACAAAACTCTGTGTGCACATATCAGATTCGCAAGATTGGTGAGAATTGGAAGATACCATAGAATGTTAAGTTATACAGATTCCCCTGTGATGTTATGTTTGTCGTTGCTGTAAACAGTCTCGGCTATACAATGTGTTATTATCTGTGAAGATGGGTACATTTTAAACTTGTAATTCAATAAAAGTTTTCCCCCTTTTTCCTCTCTTGTGTTGTCACTGGCCCTTTACAATGCTGTTCTTTGCAAATGTGTTACACCTGCAAATTTCGTCACATGTATTGTTCCAATATCATTTATGGTTTTTCAGTGTGCTGATCAATTTGCACAAGGGAAAACTGAGTGTTGCCATTCGAAAATTTTGAAATTTTTCTAATGTAACCATAATTGTGATAAAATTGTTGTTTGTTGTTTTAAATAATCACAATCCTGAGTGCATAACTTAACAATGTCTGATATTTCATTTCGATTGGCTGAGCAAATAGTCTGCTAGGCGATCATATATCAGAGAAATTTTTTATGACTACCCTGTAGTTATAATTTTATTGTTAAAAGTAAGGCATGTTTCATATCTATTCTGTGATTACTCTTTTAAGATATGATTAAAAAAATTGAGTTTCAATTTTTGTGTGCTTTTATTCATTGAATGTCAAAAGTTTATGTGAGATTGTAGTTGACAGACAGTGTGAAAGGTTACAGCTGCATGTTGTTTGATCTAAAAGCTTACAAATATTTTTGGTATGTCTTTGAAGAGGAAAACTTAATCTGAGCAAAGTATGGCATATTAATTTCTCTTTAATATTCCATTTTCTTATTGTATTTTTCTTGAAATAAATTTTTTGAAACTGGGAGTAAATATGCAATTTTTTTCCTTCTTTAGGCAGAACAAAGGCTTCTGGAGGAACAGAGACGAGTTCAGTTGTATCTTCATGAAACAACACTTGAGATTGTTGCCAAAACTTGTGAAAAAGTTTTAATTCAAAAGCACTTAGAAATATTCCATTCTGAATTTCAAAATCTTTTAAATGATGATAAAAATGAAGGTAAGATTAAATTCTTATGTAACAAAGATATCTGATTTCTTTAAAATTGTTATTTAAGAATTATGTACGATATTGAAAAATAGTTTTAAGGTCATACAATTTTTTTCTGCACGTATTTTTAATTTTTTTAAATTTGAAGTTTGGAGCATATTTTTTTAGTAGTCTAAATAAATCATTTATATAAATATAATAATTACATATGCTAAAATGTGTTTTTATATCATTTTGCCCCTTCATGTGTCAGTTTTCAAATTTTTGTTGTGAATTTTTATTGCATTGTCATTTCTCTGTAGCATGACTATTATACGTTTGCGCCACAGTTTATTAGTTTAATGCATTAACCATACTTAATTGACATTGAATATTATGCAAAAAAGTTTTAAAGATTTGTGTAATGCATATGGGTTAAAGGAAGTCATCTTTAATATGTAAGGGTTAAAGAAAATTATGTTCTGTTACCTGTTGAAGGATTAGAGTTTATTTTCTTCTACAAATAAAATAAATGAATGAGTGTAATTTTTATCATCAACACTGTATGTGTGCATTAGGGATCAATGAAATTTATGACAACATTTATTAAATCATCTACCTTGCTTTAGGTAGAAATAACATACCGAACAAAAATTAATTTAGAATTCAAACAACAAAAGTCAGCATTACATTTGCAAATTTTCACAGAACTAGTTTCGATGGTTTTACCAAACCATCACACTCAGCTGCCAAAGAGCAAATGAACAAGATATATTTGCAATTTTTCACAGGACTAATTTCAATGGTTTTACCAAATCATCACCCTCAGCTGCCAAAGAGAAATGAATGAGATATATCTTATCACTATATCTTATCTCATTAATTTGCTCCTCAGCAGCTGAGGGTGATGGTTTGGTAAAACCATCGAAATTAGTCTTGTGAAACATTCCAGATATAATGCTGATTTTTGTTGTTTGCCTTCTAAATTAACGTCTACCTTTATATTAAAAAAAAAATGTAAAGATATCATCTGCATTCCAAAAATGGTGTTAGGAAAAGATTTTTAGATTTTTAATCGTGGTTTCAAAAATGTGCAAAACTTGTGATAGTTTGTTATATGGAAATCTCAGTTTTATGGTACAAATATCTCTCCTATAATACAGTAGATAGGTTCCTTGAAACTAATGTGTTGTATGAGGTTAATAAGCCAAACAAAATAAAGGGATGCATTCTAAAAACTTAAAAGCAAAATATTTTTTTAATGGTTCTCATTGTTGTCTTCTTTAAATTTAGAGAGATGCCTTTTCTTCTTTGAACGAACAAAAATTTGTGATCTCCAAAAAATTAAATTTTCTCTTGCTTTTAGGCAGAGTTTCATACTGAAATATAATTTTGCAATAACTGTAGAGTTATTAGATTTTTCTGAAGCAGTAGACATAGAAAATAGGAGACCCAGTTGCTGAATACTGGTGATGTCAAATTTTTGACCACATCCTTTGTTAGTTGTGGCTCCACTTGTAGAGTTAATAGATTTTTCTCAAGCAGGTGATGTGAAAAATGCACAATGCTTTCGCCGGGACTCGAACCCTGGACTTTTCGAATTTGCAAAAGAAAAAAAAACAGCAAAGCAAATTAATAACACATACCCCAATTTTTTTTTTTTAAATTTTCCTTTTTCACAATTGCATAATTTATGCTGTCTGCCAACTAAATACTTGGAGCACAAGATACATACTATGTAAATAATGGACGTAACTCAAATTTCAAATGAATTTTTATGTGATTTAATGCAGGTATTCCAGAATCTATTTTATTTTCGTGTGTATAAATAAATAAGTTGTTATATTTTTAACACAATAGTATAGTACAGAACTTAATTTTATTACACAACTTAATTTTGTAAATGGTTAAAATGAAAATCTTTTTGGAATATGTGCATACATAGAGGGTTATAAGATGTTTTGCGCAGGTTCATTAAGGTGTTAGAATGAAAAGTACTATACAAGGGAATCCATAACTTTTTTATTGTGTAAAAGTTAAACCGTGTTGTTCGAAGCTGTGTTACAAGAAGGATACCTGTAATTGTTGTGAAAAGCTGAGAATCTAATTTGGAGAAATTTTTGTTAAAAATGATTTCTTTAATTCCTGTATCTGTAAAATTGAAATTCTAAAAGCATGATATTTTTTCAAAAATATAAAGTACCCTAAGTAATATTTTAACATCAAAGTAATACTTTAGATACTGATATGACATCAAAGAGGGTCTCTTAACAAATTAAGATGAATTTTTTTGCAGTTTAGTATTGTTGGAAATTAATGGGAAAATTTAGTGAGTATTCAGTTAAAAAGATGAATTTCTAAGTTAGAAATAATACGGTAAAAAAATGGTTTTTGAATATATATATCAGTGGGAAAAAAATCTTTGAAATGCTGTCAGAAGATTGAAGATTACATCACTAATGGAAAAATTTAATTATCTTTTTTAAGACTCAAAGTAGAAGTCTCTTTCAAATTAGCAAAAACTCATATGCAAACATGCACGTACTATTTTTATTTACATTTTAATAGTCCATATAATGTTATCAGCCAAGAAAGTAAGATGGATGTGATGTGTATGTTTGATTGTCTGTGCGCAATATCAAAAGTCTGACCATTAAATTCAGTTAAACCATACATAGTTTTAATGTAAACTTTTGCTGCTTTAGTTAATACTTCAGTGTAAGGCAATGCCTTATGTTACTTGTGCATGGATATGTAGACTTTTAATCTGTGCTGAACATATGTAGTGATTAACTAAAGATCAAATCTAAAATTTTCTTGTTTATTCAGAAGGTCAAGGTTACTAATTTTAAATCAGAAAATTAATTCTTTATGTTGAAATTGTTGACTTTAATAATTAGAGGGTTTTAAGCAAAATATTCCACGTTATATCAAAACTGTAATTCTAATTGGATAAAGAAGCTATTTGGTTTAAATATATATAAAGTGTGGAAAGTAGTTAATCAACTAGTTTTTACTCATGAAAACTTTGTGAATTATGAGCACTTTTTATGTGCAAATATATTCAAGGTGAAATATTTAGCGCTTGTGTGACTTCAGTTTTTATAATAATTGATTTGCTTTTTAATGAAAATTCAAAATTAAAATGATTTTGGTTTTGCTTACTGAGATTTTTTCAAGAGATGCCTCTTCCTCCAATTTAAGTAAGAGACTGAAATTTCTGACCATTCTCCTACCAGTCTAATTTAAGCTATCATTCCTAAAATTTTTCACAATTTTTATGTAGCTTTCATAGTTTGCACCCAAAAACTTGATTTCTGGCATCTGAAATTGCTTGACTTTTTTCTGAATTATTGAGATATTACACTATGCTGTCGCTATACATGTAAAAGCTATGACTGAAAACATCTGCAGTGAGCATCAAGTGCTGTTGTGACTCAACTAGGGTACAAATGAGCACAAAGCAAGTAGTGCAAGGCTATTCTTTGCATTTCTTTTGTTACTGAAAAAGGTGTGTTTTACATGCTTCAAGAAATGTTTTAAGAAATTGTGACCTTCTATGTGATTTAGGAAAATGTGAAAAAATACATAAACATATATTTTTAAAAAAACCATACTTAAATGATTTTCTTAGTATTACTTCATGAAGAAAGTTCGGTATGTTTATGATGTACTGTGTGTCTGTGATTTTTTTAAATTTCAATCAGTATAAGGGCTGATGCTGTTAAATATGTTTATCATTTAAAATAAAATTATTTTAGCATATTTTTATTGTTTAAGAGTTATTTTCATCTCAGAAAATTCCCTTGAGTTCTAAAAAATTTTTTCCTTATTTTTGTTTTTGGTAAGTGTACCTCTCCCCTTTTTTTGGCACTGCTACTTTCAAAGACCAATTCAAATAAGTGCATTTTATCATAATGTTAATTGCTATCTAATTTTTTACTTGATGGCCATTTTTTCCTTCTTCAGAAGTTAACTCAGTATATTGCTGTTGTCCTTAAAAATTATATTGTGATTTGAATATTTAAGTTGATGTATTCATTTTTATAGATCTAGGAAGAATGTTTCAACTAGTTTCCAGAATATTTGATGGTCTAGGAGAACTGAGGACACGTTTAGAGACTCATATTCATTATCAAGGTCTTTCAGCTATTGAAAAATGTGGAGAAAGTGCATTAAATGACCCCAAAATTTATGTCAACACTATACTAGATGTACATCGAAAGTATAATGCCTTAGTAATGACTGCATTTAATAACGAAGCAGGCTTTGTTGCTGCATTAGATAAAGTAAGTAAACCTTGGAAAATTTCATAAATTTTTCATAATAGATTAATTCATAATAATTAATAATTTTTCATAAATAGAGCAATGATTTGTGAATTGTGAAAACTCACTTTGAAATTTCTGAACATATGATATTTGAGATAAATGAATGCACTAAGGACAACTGCTATTTTAAAAATGTGTTATTCCTTTTGTATTGAAATAAAATAATTTAAGAAGTTCTTCAGATATTGTAAGAATAATAATGATTTGAAATACTAGTAGTCTGTATCTTATCTATTGGCGAGTAGCTTAAGTTGTATTTTTCAGGATTAGAAGCATAAATATTTTTTTACACATTTTGCTATTAATTTCTATTATTAACATGCTAATGTCAAACAGTGTTTTGTATTTAGGCTTTTGATAAAAATCCATAAAAAAAACTGTTAAGGGGGAAATTTTAATTTACCGTCTATTTGTATTTTCTCTGATCTATAAGTTGAAAGTAAAATATTTGGTCATTTTAAAATTCTGCACCCATTATCATTAAAATAATATTGCAAAGACAAGCAAAAATTATTATTTATTTTAAGATAAATTTCAAGTGATATTGTTTTTAAAATTTGTAATAAAATTCACCAGATTTAAATCTGTAATACTTTGTTCTGATTGGTATATTGTAACAAAACACATGCTATAATATGGGTTGGGTATAATTAGGTATTTTTAATAGTGGAATCAAATTCTCCCTCAAATACTTTATAAAAAATAAGTCTTGTGCATCCTCCCTTAATAAACTAGGCCTTAAAACTTTAATATTTGCATTTAGGACTTATTCCTTGGCATTTGAATGTCTTTTTGTTTTCTGCTGTGTAAAATATAACAGAATATGAGCAAGTTTTCCTTAGAAAGTTCTTCACAAAGGCATCCTTTCTTAGGCATCTAGCCCTTGAGTGCTTTATTATGGTTATTAGTCTTAGACAAAGAAGACTTATGCGAGTCATTTTCTCTTAGAAAATCTTCATGAGGCTACTTTTCCTAGGCCAATAACCTTTCCTGTTTCACCATGAATTAAATAACTAACTAATGGTTTCTCTGTGCTGTTTCTGCATTTTTTTTTTAGCAGTAGTATTTTTGAATATCACTGCCAAATTTTTTAAAGTTTATACAATTTGAAAGTGAGAAATCATTTATTGGTTTGATTTTTTAAATTATTATCTTTTAATTTTGATTAACAAAATTATAACTGTAAGTAAGTTGATAATACATAGGAAAAAAAGCGAAATTGAATTTTTAGTGTGAATTCCATTTAATGAAATTTTATGAATTTGTGACCAAATATTTAGATTGTTATGCAAGCTTTTTGCATAGAGCTATATACAATGAAGTAATGATTAGCAGTTTATTATAATATTAGTTAGATGATAAAATAATATAAGGTGTCTAGTATTCAATTGAACTGTTTTGTAACAGAGAATTGTGGACATTGTGTAACATCTAAATTTAAATCTGAATATTTATGTCTAACATAGATTTGCTGGCATATAGTAATACTGTGCCCACATAACTTTGTAATGTCCGTTATCAAGTTTTCAGTAACAGGTGTAGAATTTATGCAGCATTACATTATGAGCAGAAAATGAATCCTCGTTCTCTTAAGATAATTATGAAAATATGTTATTTAGATACTAATCTTGAGTCTGTAGAATAATCTTCCTTTCTTTTTACTTGTTATACAGGCATTTTTAACTATTTGTGTTAAGGGATTAATTTTTATTTCTGCATACCTTCTTGCAATTTTTTTATGCATTGGAAGTATTACATATCTTTACTAATAATGTGTTGTAAGTGGCTTGCAGGGTAACAGAAAGGAGAATCAGTTTTTACACATCATAAAATAAATATTTCAGCAAAAAGTGTTCTAATGAGATTTATTTTAATTGTATCGTTTAAGAATTTTTTTTTTCCTATTCAGATTTTTCTGTTTTTTTTCATTTCATAGGCTTGTGGGAAGTTTATAAATAATAACGCTGTGACTAGGATGGCTAATTCATCTAGTAAATCTCCAGAGTTATTGGCCAAATTTTGTGACTTACTATTAAAAAAGAGGTATTGTTGTTAAATGTATTGTTTCCTTCCTCAGCAAGAAATTTTTATGATTTTCTTATAATTGAAAGAAATGTATGATTATGCTGTCTGAAAAATAATGTATTAAGTTATAAGTAAAAAGCAAAGTTACCTTCAATTATCTTTAGGAAAATGTAGATCAGTACATTATTATCCTTAAAACAGCTGTACTTGGTTTTTCAAATAAGTACCTGATTATATAAATTTTTTGACTTGCTGTACTGTTAGTATAGCCTTTCTCTTCAAAATTTTCCATGCAGTAGTCCGTATGAAATAGTGTAAACCTGTGTAAATAAATTATTGTATAAATGCAGTTAATTCTTTGCAGGTAACAAATGCTTAGCAGAATGCATCACCAAACAGTAATTGCTTAATTATGTACCACTCAAATGAAGTATTTTTAAAGAAGTGGATTCTCATAGGCTAGCTGGCCGCCAATATCTTCTATTTTTTTAATACCTTTTTTATTCTGACTGTTATTGAATTTTAAGCAAAAGGTGCATAATTGCTAAAAATAATTTTTTAGTGATTATACATTACTTCCATTTACTTATCAAACAGGCATCATTCTTCAAAGTTTCTTTTTTTCAGTTGAGGTGATGTATATCTAAACAGTTACTCTTGACCCAAAAAAAAAAAAAAAAAAAGTGAGATCAAAGAGTGTAATGTAGCTTCTTATCTCAAGGTATATTTAGAACTCACCACCAGATTAATTTTTCTGACCTTTATCCTTAAGCCATTATAAGCGGCTGCATCACTTGTCTTTAATTACATTGTCTTGACTTTTCTTCTGTATATTAAAAAAGGGAATTTATTAAATTACTGATCCTTTTTTTGCTTGCAGAAGTGTGAACTTTAGTATTAATTTTTTGTGCTTAATTTAGTACTCATGTTTGAAGTTACATACATGTTGATAGAGATTTGCTGTGTCATGATTGTTTTGTGGATTTTTGGTGGATCAGGAGGAGTTACTTTTGCGTAACTGTTACTTTTGTGTAACTGCTGCTCTACCTTGTGCAGGACCAATCAGTAGAATAATCTGCCCGCTAAGATAGTTTGTAGAAATTAATTCAAAAACTTTTATTAATATTTTTAAGAAATGCATTTTACAAAAAGAATTTTTTGGGAATGTATCATCATTACATGAAATTAAAATGTGACTAGATGTCAGTTATATAATCTTAATATAGTATTTCTTCTGATATTCTATTAATTAGAAAATTTTCCCTTTTACTTATGATATCCGTAAAACTTCAGATTCATGGATGTTGTCACCATTATGAACTGGTTGTAAACTGCGTGACTTATGTAGAAAGATTTCTTTAGACACATCCTTTCATGATCCTGTTATGCCCTCACACATCTGATTTTAAATTAAAATATTTCTAGAATACTTGAATGTATTATTTCAGAATCAGTTTTCAAGAAGTTGCTTAAAATCTGCATTTCAGTGTGCACAAAATTCTGATATCCATTGGCTGGCAGTAATTTTCATTAGATTCACATGGAACAAAATAATAACCTGCTTCAAATCAGAAAGTTTAGAAAATAGTGCAATTTGCTGTGTTAATTGAACTTGGGCTCCTTGGAGTCTTAATTCTTTCTCTTTTTCCTGCTGCTATCCCAATGAAAGAACACCCATATCAACATCTTGGCCCACATTAATGTGCCTTTAGGGTTAACTTAAATTTTAGGATAGATAGAAGAATGCTCACACTAACAGCTCAAGGGCTGAAGGTGTGGTGGGGCTAATATTAATACGTCAGTCAATGTAGTGTTGTCCGTTGTGGGATTTCCTAGCCAGCAGTTTGGAAGTGCCATAGAAGAATATTGGTCGGGGGAAAAAATCGCTTTTTATGCCACATTTGTTCTTTTTCAATTGTCAGACTTTTTAAGAGAAAAAAAATGTTGCCAGTGATCCGGAGGTCTGGGGTATTAGATAATTTTTTATTTCAGACGTATTACTGTATTTAAAATTTCTATTAATTTTTCTGTAAACATGGAACTTCTGATGAATGAATTTTTTTGGTGTCTCATTTTGGTCTGTTGGCGAATGACTGTAAATGGTTACATAGAAGCAGTTTTACAAATATCTTTTGAATAAAGGATTGCAAAAACATAAGATTATTATTATTATTTTTTGAAATATAGGGAAACACGATTGGTTTGGAATAGAACCATGAACTAAAATTAATAAGTTTTGCTGAATGCGAAAGGTTGCAGAGGAATATTGGGTAACCTGGCAATTTGAGATTATATTATTTTCATAATTGATTATAGTGTGCAAGTTAAAGTATAGTAATTCTTATTCTGGTCTTTAAAGGTAGCATCTGTGTTCTCTTGAATCGTTCTGGTTTGAGATTCTTTCTTTAATTAAAGTGACTTAATGCATTAAAAATATAAAATATTGTTAACTTGGTTTAAAAACATTAAGGTTTTTGTATTAATACATTAAACTGAATATTGAAAATTTGTTATTTTTTAGATGGTAATATTAATTATTGAGTTTTGATATATAATTAACAATGAAGGTGGCAGTTTATTTTACTGAAAAAGCGAAAACTCCCTTGCCTTAAAAGGGTGCCTTTTGTGGTATACTTTTTAAGGAAAAGTTTTAGTATTTACTACTTCATATGCAGAAAACATTGGGAAAAATCTGTATATCTTTTTTATCCAAGAGCTGAAGAATTCGAATATATACTACGTATCTTTTTTTTTTTTTTTTTTCACGTTTTGGCAATGAATTTCTGTTTATTTTATGCCCCCAAAAAATTCGAATAATTTTTGCATTATCTTTTTTAAAGAATCACAGAAAAACTAGCGGGAGAATGGTAAAATGTACAAAAGTAGTGATCATATTGTTATGTAAAGTAAAGCAAAAATCATGGTAATTTTAATTAATTTTTTGTGGAAATGAATTTACAGTTAACACAGAAATATATTTCAATAAATAATCCTAATAGTTTTACAGCAGTTATTAATATGGTTTTACTAGTAATATATAATATATATATATGTACATATATATATATATATTAAAATTTATGAAATATGCAAGGAATTGAGTTCTTTTTGAGACAAATCTTTTCAATATTTTTAAAAAAAGTGAAATGAAATAAAATTTATGAAATATGCAAGGAATTGAGTTCTTTTTGAGACAAATCTTATCAATATTAAAAAAAAAAGTGAAATTAAAGGAATTGTGCCAAAGTGCAGAGAGAAAAACACTTTATGGTCAAAGATTTCAATGAGAAGTGAGTATAGAATTTTAGTAGTGCAAATGCATTTTGATAATTTTCTGTTGATTGCATGTTTGTGCGCTCTGTCTGTCATTTTATTGTCTTACCTCAACATTTCTACTCTGAAATCATTAATGTTAATAACAGAATAAGTATAGACAGAGTCATAAAATACATGTTGAAGGTGAAAAAATGAAACTTATTTAATTTTCATAGTCAGTATTCCATTTAGTTATCTTTACAGCTACTTGTGGGCATATTTTATCATGTGAAATATTTGGCTATTTTCCAATTCTGATCAGTTTAATTTTCTGGATTGAATCGGGATTTTGAATATTTAATTGTGAATGACTAATTTCCCTAGAAATTTAAATGCAAATGTTCCAAATATTTAAACATATTTATGCGCAAGACTATAATTTCATGTCAAGATAATTAATGCATTTACTGGCAGATTATAAAAATTCACCAGAAGCCACCCTGGTTTTAGAAGAAAAAGAAAATAATAGATGTTGACTACTCTTCTTAAATTGCATTTCGTAGCTTAGCAGATTCTCATTGTGAATAAATTTCTGCATTAATTCTTTTTGTGTGTATCATTTCCAAATATATTTGTCTGATAAATTGCCTTTTAAGTACAGGATCCTGCAAATCGACCTCTCATATTTCAAAAAGGAGTTACAAAAAAACAAGTGTACAGAAAAAATACTTTTATTTGTGGACAATAAATACGATGCTATTTTACATTGCTTGATTTAAAAAATTATGTCCAATAAATGCTGTCCTCCATTGCTGATAGATTGATGAAGGCTTTCTCGAGAGTTGTCTCTAGTTCTTTGTGTATCATTTCCAAAGAAAAAAAAAATTGCAAGGTAATAAATCAGGTGACCTTGGTGGCCAGCCAATGTCTCCTTGTAAACTGAGAAGACATCCAGGAAACATCTCTCTCAGAATTGCTGGAAATTACAGCAAAGTGTAAGCTGTGTCTTGTTGGAACCAGACTTCTCCCTCTTCATGGTTCCCAACAAACTGGTTTAATTTAGATCGAATTAAGATCTTGATCATATGACAGTAGTGATTCATAGCAACTGTTTCTGTTAGCCATCTTCTTCGAAAAGATAAGGACCCCACATCGCAAATTCAGCAGCTGCAAACCAAATGGAGCTCATAAAATTGGAAAGCTTTCTAAGTTGAGTTTTAATTTAATTCAGCAATAAATATTAGTTCAATGATTTCAGATTCATAGATATTTTTATTTAAGAAGAGAAACATTTGTGTAATTTTTCATTATTTAAGAAATTTTTTACGAGTCAATTTTTCTTTTAATGAGCTTGACTGAAATTCAAAGTTTTTTGCCTTGCAAGATTTTCTTATTGTTATTTAATTTTTGGTTTATGCATATATTTTTGTCAACCTGAACATTGAATTAGTGGATACAGGTACACGTCTGTACCATTGTGTTCTTATTTGATTGATCACGCAGTGAAATGTCAATTTTATTGAATAAGAATTTGTTTTAAATATGCATAAAAATTTGTAAAGCTTTATTTATGCATCTGCCAAGCCAATATATAAATGAGAAAAATATGTGTAATGAAAATTTTACTTAATGTTTGATATGTTTATTTTAATGTAGTTTCTTTACTAGTGATACAAACATTTAATTTGTTTAAAATACTCAATATTTTAAAGAAGTTAAAATAATCTGTTTTTATAATTCTTAAGAATTCAAAATGTGTAACATTCAGCATGAAGAGAAAAGACCATACCTTTATTGCAGCTGCTCCTCTTATATAAATATTATGTCTGATCCTCCCAGGAAATGTAAATAAAGATACAGATTTTTATTTTTTAAAGAAGGAACTTTTAGATATAATCAGATATGTCATTTGATTTTGAGCATTTAAAAGCTTGGTGAATTTGTTTTAAGTTCTTGGAAATTTTGTTATTAGCATCGTAATAAACAAATTTGTTAAGTGTGTCGGTGTGATGAATTTCATTAAATAGAAGATATAATTAATTTTCCACTTTTTCTTCATCCCTATTAATGATTCATTCAGAATGCTGTTTTTAATCACGCCATCAACTATATTTAGTTTTGACATTAGATTAGCATCACAATTTATATATTTCTTGATTCTCTTTGGAGGTTCTGGTCTTATGTCTGTGTTTGCAGTTTCATCATTGTCAGCAATTCCACCCGATTCTAGATTTGTGAAATCTTTGACAGAGCAATTTTTAATTATTTTCTGATTTGAGTCCAAGTCAAAACAATAAGTTTGATAACCTTTAAGTGTGTTTTTCATTTTTTTTATTTCTTTTAATGTGTTTTTCTTTATTTTTAGTGTGTTTTTTTTAAGTGTTTTTACAGTTCCTGCAATGGCATTCTGAAGAGTGATTTTAATTAAATGCTTGCAATGAAAATGTTTTTAAGTTTTTGATTAGGCCCAGTTTACAATACACTTGTATGAATGGGTAGGGGAAAAATGATTTATATTTTTCTAAAGGTTAGTTGGTTTCAGATAGATTGTGCATTAATTTCTTGGAGAGCAAAATTTTGCAGTTTTTTTTAATCCATTCTGTAAGAACCTCCATTTTCATCCACAATTTTTTTGGTTGCTTTATATCATAATGTCAGTGCTTTAATAATTTAAAAAAATAGGGTTTCTTTGATTAAATGCATCAGCATTTTCACTGAGTAAAACAGATCTTTATTTGTGAAGTGCATTATATTTATTGTGTTTAAAAGCTAGGGTTCTCATAGCTATGATGTGAAAGGCAATCAAGTTTTCCAATTTAAAAAATATTCATCTTCTGATGTACATATTTTTCATTATATAAATTCCTGAACAAGTTTTGAGTGTATTAGGCTGAAAAATCTTCAGATTCCCCACTAATGGCATGCACGAGATTCCATGGTGCGATTTAAATTTAGCAAAGTAACTGGAAAGCAAGCATCCTTCCTTTACAGTGAATTGCAGTGCTGCTTCTTTCTTTTCTTAAATTCTTACTCTCCATCAGTATAGCCCTATTTATTAGAAAATTCAAAGCATGGCAGTGACTGTAAAGCTTGAGGAAATTTCTCTGAATCTTGCAAAATTCTCTGCCGTACACAACTTCCTTGAAGCATATTCGTACAAACTGATGCTTTTCCATCTTTCTGATGATGATGCTTTTCCATCATCTCTTTTGTTAGAAGCAGTTGTTTTAAATATTGACTCAGGAATACCTTGCGTTAAAAAAAAAAAAAAAATCGTTTAGATTTGTAATTTAATGGTAGTGCCTTTTGTTTTTGTGACATTTTGGTTGCAAGTTAAGTAGAAGTGCACAAAGAATAAATAGCATTGTGGTTAACAAGGTGTAGTGAATTGAAGTTTTGCATGTTATCAAACCTGTACGATCACAAGACTTGTTTTTTTTTTTTTTTTTTTTTTTTTTCTTTCTGTCCTTCAAAGCAACTTTCTATTCAGCAGCTAGATTTAAACCTCTGTTACCAGTGTGATAAATCTGCTGTTTTATGTTTTGTTATATGTAACTCCTCATATTGCTATGCACAGCTTTTGTGAGCTACTTAAAAAAGAAATGTAGATGAACAAATCAGGGAACAGATGAAATGAAACAAGTTATGCATCATGTTAATGAAATATTTTATGATTAGCATGAGTAGGAATGAATTGGGATAGATAAAGTGACATATAAACTATTCATGAATGAACAATATTCACTGCCTGTTTAGAAAATGACATATAGCATGACATAACAAAGGTGAAATGACATAACAAAGGTATTGTCTGCAAATTTCTATTAGAGTACACATGCACAAGTCTTGTAATTACATTTGCAAATCAATCAAATAATTAGCACAGAGGCAATAAGCATCTAATAATGCACAGAGCCATCAGCTTTGATTGCATCACAACCATAATATACGAGTTTCCCTGTTGTTTTGGAATTTTGTGAATGTAGAGAGCAAAGTAATGCCTTTAAGAAGTCATTGTATGCAGTATGGACTAATGGACAAGCTAATGTTAGGCCTCTGTACCATCGGTTTATCTTTGCGCTGTATCACAAAAGAAATGTAGGTTGATACCACAACTATAGGTTGGACTTTGTTACTTGATTCAGGATTGAAATGTGCCATAACATATTTGTTTCAGAGCATGGAGATAGATGTTGAAGCAATTGGCCCACAACTCGAGACAATGAACTGGATGTTTTTCCTGCTCCAATATCAATGTGGGTAGTTTCATGGTCCAATATCAATGTGGGTAGTTTTTCATATTCTATACAGATGTGGTTTTTAGCTGTTCCTTACAAAGGCTTCCATTAACAAGCTATGATCATGGAAGTTTTCAAGTGTTGCAGGAGAGCTGTTTTGTGTTCAGAATGGGATAATGCAATTTTCAGTGACAAATCTTGCCTGTGCCACCTAAAAGAATGATCTGTACACAGGCGATATAAGCAGCTGATGATACATGTACAAGTTTTCAGTGACATATAGCTTGTCAGTATGAAAATATATGATTTTAGGTAGCATTAGTGCTGACAGCCATTTTTACCTAATGCTCATTACAGGCATATTAATGCAGTGCTGCTGTATTGATCTTGGGCTGCATCATTTTTTAAAAGAGAATGCATGGTCGCATACAGCTTGGCTTAGCGTGGATGGGTTGCAAGATATGCAAGTACTCCTTTGACCAGACCAATTCCCCGATCTCACTAGTTGAGCATTTGTTGGGTATGATTGTGCACAGGTTGACTACCTCTCTTCCTCTCTTATCCATCTCTTCCATGGACCATAAGTGACTTATGTTATAAGTCACTTATGGTCCATGATACGTTAAGACATGGCACTTTTTGGTTTGATTCAGGAATGTCTTATATATAATAATGACTAAAATGGTGCTGCAGCATCTTATGTGTTGTGTATCTAATTTTTTTTTTATTATTACACATGTCTGCAAATTAAATAATTTGTTAAGTGCTTTATTATCTATTTATATACAAAGTTTGGTGAGGTTCATGTTATTCTTTCATAGTGTGGCATTTTCTGTGTCTGCCAGTGTATAAGTAGTGTTTCAATACTTATGTAGTATTCTCATAACAAGTGAGTTATCTTCCTTCCGTGAACCACAGTCAAATAGACAAGATTACTGTACCAAACTGTATGAAAAGCAGCAATATATAAATCATTTGTTACTAGTCTCACTTGCCTATGCCATTCATTGGCATCAAATGTGCCTGCCATTGACAGCATTGGGGGATGCCTTGAACTCCATGTAGGGAAGAGCCTGACTTAAGTTCAGTTCCACTCCGAATTTTAGGGAGAGCACCCCAGAGGGATGGATCCAAGGGTATCCCACCTTTCTTTCCGTACCAACAATCTCTGAAGAGGACTTCGGCTCGCCACATATTTAAAGTGCCTCCGTGCCACACAGACATTATGCAAACATCCATGTTTTCTCTGGGATTCGAAACGGATTTTTCAGAACGGCAGTCAGAGTCACTAACTATTATCCCAGTTGGACGACACAAAAATAAGTAAATAAATGAATGCAAAGAAATTATGCATACTTGCTCTTGTAACGTTATGAGGAGATTTGTTATATTGCTACATTATTATATTGTACAACTTTACCTGAAGGAATGCATTGATGTGTTGTTGAGTTTGTTCTCATTGTTGATAAATCAGCATCACAATTTAGCAAGGTAACTGTGGCATCGCAGAGGTTGTTCCTGTCTTATTGCTTACAATTATCTGTTTAAGATGACCCCATAGATATTTTATCATCTTAGTACTGGCATTATAGGAGAATGAACAAAATTCCTTGAATGATTTACCGTCAGATGGTTGTATCATGTGATTCAAGCTGATAACTGAAGGTATATACAGGGTAAGTCACCTGTTCAGTATGACCCAATAGATCATTTTTTTGTGCTAATGCTGTGTATATTTATTTTGTATATAATTGAATAACTGTGTTAAGCTGTTGTATATTTAAAAAACTATTTTGATATAAATAAATGATATGAATAAATAATATATATAATAAATAAATAGTTTTAAAAATTCCAGGTGCTGTTAAATGATTTGGTGATAATGTGCTAATTTTGTCACCAAATTAGAGAAACACTAAAATATTTGATATCTCAAAGCAGGTGTGTGTTCTTGAAATTTCTCAATTTCTCTTTCTGCTTTTACTCTTTATGAGGTAGCTAGTTCATCTGTGGTTGGTATTTAGTTTAAATTATTTCACCTGCACAAATGTGTGTTTTTGAGCTCATCTTTAACAGCGCTTGTTGAAATGTTTTTATCGTGTGTTTTTGAGTATTTTATTATTAGAATTCTGTTACATTGTGTAGTATTTAGAGAGTGGGAGGGAGTGCAGAACTGCTCTTTCTTGCTTTGGGAAGATTTGCTGATGGTGTATCTTTCAATATAAAAGGTCTCTTGATTCCAATGAGCCTGTCACATTCATGCACAATTGAACAAATTGTATATATAAGCTTCAAGTAACATACACAGATACCCTATGACTATGACATTTAAGTTCTATATAAAGTAATATATTTAACAATATTTTCATTTCATTCAATTTTTAAGAAAATGTTAATCATGTATTATTTAAATTTTTAATGTACATCAAAATTTTACAGCTCAAAAAATCCTGAAGAATCTGAGTTAGAAGATACTTTGAATCAAGTGGTAAGTTTTGCATTTTTTTCCCTTTTAAAATCTTTTTTATTTCTATTGGAAGAGCTGTGAAAAATGTTTCAGTACTAAAATAAGCTATTGTGAAAGCAGCATTTGATAACTACTTGTAACAAATAAACAAGTAAAACTGTGTAACATGAAAATTAGCACAAATAAGTAATAAATTATCACTAACTGTAATTAGATTTGCATTTACTGTGCCATTCCTTTTTCGAACTTTTTTTACAAAGTTATTTTCTTGTAGTGTTTACCCATTTCATTTGATTATTATTATTATTATTATTATTTATTTAAAGAAAAAGAAATCCTAGTACACCACAAAGTATCACACGAGACTTACAAATCATAAGTAAAAAAGGCAAAATTGTAAGTAATAACATCAATTTTCAATAATACAATGAAATCATACACAAAGGGAAAAAAAGTAAATACAAAAGTATAAAAAAGTATAAAGAAATAATTTACAATGTTTAAAATAAAAGTCAACAAAATCATTGGAAGCTCGGTAGGCCGAAGCTGAAGATACAAAATCATAACATTTCGACAGCCAATGAATTTAAGCTAATTTTAATCTGCATTTTAATAGATTTCTTGCTTTATCAAGCAATGGGCAGTCAAAAAGCAGGAGGAAAACATTTTGCTGAATGCTAAGATTGCAATAATACAAATTGGAAGACAGCTTAAACTGTTCAAGATAAACTTTAAACTTACCATGTTCAGGCAAAAATAGCGTAACTTTAAAATTGAGCAGCAAGTCCTTACTTTTCAGTCTTTCAAAAATAGTTGGGAAGAATGTAACAGATCCCTTATCAGAAGAGATATAATCACAGTTCCACTGCTCAATCATTTTTAGTTTTGAATGTTTTTTGAAATAAGATTTTGGAATATTTACATCAACATTAATATCATTTTTAGTTGCATTCTTAGCAAGCCAATCAGCTCTCTTGTTTCCTTAATGACCCGTGTGACTACGGACATGTAAAATCACTGAAATAGCTATCTCCAGATCCCCAAGAGAGTGCTGTATATTAAAAATAATATCATTACATGAAGAGGTATTTTTAAGGGACTGCAGGGAAGAGAGTGAATCTGTACAGATTAAGTAGCTGGAACCACATCCATCCTGGCTAAATAGCCACTTAATTGCAAAATTAATGCACAGAAGCTCAGAAATAAATAGTACATTCATTTCTAATGCGAAATTGGTGATACTCAATTTCAACATCATCTTCAAAAATAACATAAACAAAGCCAAATTTATCATCAATCCTACTACCATCCGTATAAACACAAGTGAGAATGAATTTGCATCAGTGTCCATACTATCCAGAATCTGTACTGGTTGTCTTACTGAAGGATGTGGAAGAACAGACAAGGGCAGTAAATGATCAAAATGAGAACTAGAACAGTTTGCAAGACTTATTCTTGTAATCTATAAAGGTCAAAATAAACAAATCCAGTGGTGGAAATCCAGCAAGAGAGAAAACAGCATTGTAACTAATAGTTTGGTAACCCCTTATAACTTGCAGTAAAATTCGTCTTTGAACTTGAAGCAGGTGATTAGAGTTAATTTTCCTTTTTAGGGACAATCGCGAAGCTCTATATCCATATGAAATAAAGGGTACAATTAGCCATTTCATTGTACTTAAAAAAGCATTTTTTATCCCAGATTTTTGTTTGTGTAATTTATTTTGAGTTTTTTAAATTGTGAGAAGTTATGTATATTTGTATTAATAATATACATATAAATTTCTGCAAAAACATGTAAACCTCCGGGTGACTTAATTCTTAATTGATTTTCAGTGTTTAGATATAGTTAATGTAAAACACAATACAGTCAAGCTGGTAGCCAGGTATTAGGTCATTTATTAAGTCAGATTTTCTTGCCATGATTAATTTCTATTTAATTTTGATGAAATATATAGTTGTAGTTGTATCACTTTTGAGATGCTCTTGCCTGCTGTTGGATCCCATTCAAATTTGTAGTGTGAAAAAAGTATTTGTTTTCCAAAAAAGGAAACAGGTTTCTTTTTTAAATTTAATATATCTCCTGAGAACAACTGTATTTACTTGTCTTAAAAAATTCCTCAGATTAATTAACAAGATGCAAATGAATGTGAGCTACTCATTTACTTAGAGTATGTAGGTTTTCTAGACTTTGTTACATCTCATTTTGTAATTTTCAAAATTTTACCACTTGGTCCCTGGGAAAGAGAAGGGATTGTTTTTATATTTTTATAGACTCTTAGCTTATTTCTTGTAAGAAAATCAGTTGTTGCTTAGGGCTGGTGAATATTCTGAAAATAATTCTGAGCAAAATTCTTGAGGAAGCACCTACCAAACTGGATGTTTTGGAGAGTTTGTGCATTAAAAAATATGTGATGTTGATAATAAGCAACATTAGATTGTGAGTAATAAGCAACATTAGATTACAAAAGTTTATATTAAACATAATTATCAATAGTTTTTCTTGGAAGTGAAAGTTAGTTTTATTTTTCTTTGCAATAATATGGCATTTATTATCTAACATTGTTTCTTTACGTAAATGCTTTAAAATGTACGTTTAATACAAATTTTTATTTTAAATTTTCTTCTAATGCTTTAACAGGGTTCATAACTATCCTTAAAAGAATTAAAAGTCCTTAAAAATCCTTAAGTTTTCTGGAAATTAATGTTGGAATTTAAAAGTCCTTATTCAGCCGAAACTGGCAAAAGATCCTTAATTTTACTCATCTGACGTATCTGTCTTTTTATGACTGCTATTTTGAGTGTGAATTAAAATTTTGAAGGAATATAGTTTTGCGATGCATTGATAAATATGTATTTGATGCATTAACGTTTGATTCTTTCTTTGTATAAATGGTAGACACTCAAGTTTTAGATACCGAGTTATAGATCGATACATTGATTGAAACAAACATTTCGAAGTTTTTCTTTTTGGTGTGTGTGTGTTTATGTGTGGTGTGTGACTGAACAATTAATAAAATATTACATCTAAAATAACCGTTTCTTTTTTAAGGTACGAACTCTTTTATTACAGTGCATCAAATTTGCCTATTTATCAACATTTAGGTGATTTCAAAATTACTTTATATACAAAGTTTTTTATTCAGGGATGTGTGAGATTTTGACAAATTCCCCCCCCCAACCATAACAACACTGATAAATATCACAAAAATAGTGATAATAAATTTAAATTATATTTAAGAAATAAAATATAAATGAAATTATGTGATTATTGGGTGAAAATATAATGGTTTTAAGTGCAGGTAAACTAAACCATAAGAATGAAAGAGAATCAGCTTGATAGAAGTAGATTGTATTTATAATTATCTGTCAGTTTATCTATTTTCCATACCTCTGTGTTTGTTGATATTTGTAATAATGAGACATTACAAGTATTCACTAGCAAGTTATACGTGATGGTGAAACCATTAAAATAATGGTATCAGTTTATAAGTATATTTTAACTAAAAATGTTTTTCCTGTTTTGTTGAAATTTGGTAATGTAATGAATATATATACACTTTGTTTGATATTTATCATTCTAATGCTTAATTTCCCCCTATTTTAGATGATAGTATTTAAATACATAGAAGATAAAGACGTTTTTCAGAAGTTTTACAGCAAAATGCTAGCTAAAAGATTAGTCCAACATATGTCTGCAAGTGATGATGCTGAGGCCAGCATGATATCAAAATTGAAGGTATAGCTATTTTACAATGCTTTCAACTATATTTAAACTCAGTATCACAAAATTTCATGAAGTACATAAATACTGTATAGTTACATCACTTCATATCATATTAGATGCATACACATAGCGTTGCACATTTGCTTGTTATGAGGGACTATTTAAAAGACATTGGTATATCTGTGGCAGTTTTAAAATAAATGCTACCTCTTGTCCTTCTGGTTCAACAAACCTGTGAGTCTCAAAAATGCTCTTGGTAAGAACATCTTTTTCCCTTAAGTTGTGAACATTTCTGGTACCCTTTTTCTTTTATTTTGCTATGAAATTGCCTGAATCGACTTATGAAGCAAACTGGCTGAAAAGCAGCAGATTTCATTCAGTTACCTGTCGGAACCTACCTGTAGCTAAAAGTGGAGTGTCTGATCTAAAGAAAAGAGAATTCAGAACTCACTGCAGAATCCTTTTGGTTAAGCTTGATAAAATGTAGTTGGAAGAAGCCAATTTAAATATAGCTTGGTCAGATACATTTCTTCCTTATATCCTAAGCTCATTATGCCTAATGAATTTTTATATGCGAAAAGGATGGAGAGGTTACTGCGGAATACTGTATGAAATTGAATGGATAAATTCTGCAGTTGCAGATAAATTAAATGAGCAGGTTAAAGAATAGTGCAGAAGTAAGGGTGTTTCGAATCTCACTTCTGTTAACTATGCTGCAATGCAACTTGGTCTCTATTATTAGGACTTAATTAATAATTCAGATTTTCAAGGAACTCTAAAGTGCTGTAAAATTTAAGTTAATTGAGTTTGGTGAAACCTTCAAATTTACCATTGAACTGTTGATAGGGGTAATGATTCTGATTATATCTCTCATCACCTGTGCTTATCAACATCATACAAAATACAGGGGTTGACAAAATATGGAAACACCTTTAAAAAAACATGTTTCTTTGCTTAATATGGTGTAGGAAACCCGTTGGCATCCAAAACAGCTTGCAGTCTTCTCGGAATGGATAAATACAGTTCCTGTATGTTTGCCAAGGGAATATTATACCATTCTTCCTGCAAAACGGTGGCAAGTTCAGATAACGATGTTGGCGGTGGATAACGAGAACGCACTTTCCGTTCCAATGTAGACCACAAAGGTTCGATAATATTCAGGTCTGGTGACTGTGGTGGCCAGGGGAGATGGGACAACTCATCCTCGTGCTCAGAAAACCAGTCCTGGACAATGTGAGCTGTGTGAACAGGGGCTTTGTCGTCTTGGAAGACACCATCACCATCGGGGAACAAAGTTTGTACCATGGGATGAACTTGATCGGCCAAAATGTTCACATAAGTCTTGGCAGTCATGTGCCCTGACACAGTTATCATGGGGCTAGCAGAGAACCACGATATGGCTGCCCAACCATAACCCCCCTAAAAGAAAAAGCAGTTTTTTTGGGTTAATAAGCTAGGTATTTTCTGACTGAATAAAAAACAAGCCATTTTACTAGCTTTTTTATATTTTAAGTATTAAACCCCTTTTCAGTCTTCAGCTAGTCAAAAATTACATTTAATTTGTGTTATATATACATATATTAAAAGTTTTGCTTCAAAAGTCTGTTGTCTTAAAAAAAAAGAAATCTTTTTTTCACCTTCCAAAATTTAGCAGTAGTCATATACTACAGAGGAGATTGTTCGGCAATTATATATTATTTAACAGGATAGCTATAACTGCTTCCCCATTGTCATTTTATAAACAATAACTTTCATTCCAGAATTTATTTCTAATACTTTATAGAGCAATAAAGCTGTCATTCATGACATAATGTTATTGCAATTAAAATTGGAAAAAATTCAGTGTTGAAAAAAGTTTATACATAGCATTAAAAAAACGAGTATTATTTCTGATTTTGTTTATTACTTAGTTGGAGTGAATTGTAAGTATTTAATTTCCTTTGTAAGTATATGTTTTCATGCATGCAAAATTTATTTTTAAGTTATACTTTCAACTAATTTTATCTGTGCTGACATTTTATTACACTTATTAAAATGTGTGTGTGTGTGATTATGGCAAAGCCTCGAGGGATATCTGCCTAAGAGGAGGGGTGCCTTCGTGGAGGACTTTCTAAGGGAAACTGGCTCGTATACACGTTACACATGGGGAAAACCACGAAAACGCCCATGCAGCCAGCCCGTTCGCGGGATTCGAACCTCGGATCGAACTACCAGTGTTCAGCGATTTTACCGCTTGGCCGCTGGTGGGCTCTCACTTATTAAAATGAAAGGACAATCACAGAAATAAAACATATTTGTTACTTAATAAAAATATTAATAGAAATTTGTACAGAAGCATTATTTAACATAAATTAGAATGTTTGGCAGTTGATTATTTGCAAAATATTGATATTAAAACCAAATTTGTGGAACTTGGAAAATGGTAGAAAATAGTCTCCTTTTGTTGGAAATTTTCTTTAATATGGTGTATGGTTCTTTTGCACAGAAATCCATACCTCACATCTTGGTTTCATAGACTTTACAAGAATGTTGATCAAGTCTTGTGGAAGTACACTTTTCAGTTCCTGAATGGTTTGTGAAGGAATTTGGCACCCTGAAATTCGGCACCGTAAAGAATCCTATACTAATTAATCAGGTTCAAGTTGGGTGAGTGAGGTGGTCAATTCATTAGTGGTATCTTCTGTGTGCAAGCATTCTGACGCCACATATGCTGAGGCCGAGTATTGTCGTCCATTAGCAAAAGCTATGGGTTAATAGCACCCCTAAACAGTCTAACTTGGGGTTCCAATACCTTGTCCAAATATCTCTGAGCAATTACAGAACTTCCTTGAAAGATAGGGAACTTGGTGTGGCCATTTGTCATGATTTCCATCCCAAACCATTAAACTGCAGTTATGGAAACGGGGAATTTTACACACAGGACAAGTCAAGTTGCATGTTCCTTCTTCTCTCCAGATCAATGCATGTCTAGAATCACTGTTTATACTCTTTCTGGACTTATCAATAAACAGTACCTGGGTCCAGTCATCTTGTTTCCATTGAACATGATGATGCACCAGTTTAAATCGGCTCCTCTGGAAGCTGGAGTGAGTGGTACAAAACCATTGGTATAATCGCATACAGTGCAACTCTGTTAACCCTTCATGCTGCAGTAGAATGGCTAATTTGAGTTCCTGTTGCAGCCTGAAGGTCTAAATCCAAATCTTTTATAGTTCCTTCAAGCCAACAAGGACAGAAAAGTGCCTTATGCAGTTGTTGCTCTTTCTTGCACTTAACCAGGCTGTCTGTCAACTGATCCAGTGCTTAAAAAGCAGCTCTAATCTCTTGATATGATACTTTGAGGGATACACAAATCTTGGATGACCTCGCTTGATTCTGCCAATTATCGCCACTTTTGACCTATACTTAAGTGATGCTTTTCAGCCATAACTACTGAATAATGATCATTCTCAGAAACCACATTCACCTTAAACGCAACAGACCAAAATTCCAGGATGCGTACATTGCGCACCACATTGTGAATCACCGAATTTATTATTGCTGATGCTGACGTCTGTGCAGAAGTGCAATTTTGTGTTCAGTTGTATTTAATCAACATAAACAATTACAGCATTGGCCATTGGTTGCAACATTAACTTAATATTTACTTATTTTTCTCATTATCCTTTAACTTTGATGACCAGTGTATAAATATATCTTAGTCTCAGTGACTGCAAATAATATTTCAAATGCAGTAAACAATCAGGTCTTGTATTATATACTCTTTGATAATGATCACTCTCAGAAACTTTATTTAGATTTATTAATTTTGTGATGCAAGTGATTGCTGAAGAGAGTGCTAATGAAGAGTGTAACTATTTTATAGCAGGTTTTCTTAGTTTAGAAAAAATTTAATTGGAAAATTACTGACAACAACTTCTATTATAGTTCGAATGGGAATCCTTTGGGAATTCAAAAGTAAATTCTTTTTTTTAACACATTGACTGCCAGATGCATTTTCAAGGGTTTGCCCAAAGCACCGACGTGAACTTTTCATTATGCGATGCATATTATCCTGAAATAATATTTGCAGCAGATAAAATGAGTTATGAAATCATGCTTGAAGCAGTTTTCATGGTGGGGTCACCGGCGACCGCCACAGAGCGGTAGGCAGTTGTTACGATTGTCCTTTTTTCAAACAATCATGCTTCAATTCCTAAGTGCTTACTCTCATTTTTTAGACTTATTCGGTGTGTTCTACAAGCAAGTAAGTGCAATGTTATATTGTTTCACTCTACATACGTTTTTGCGTTTTGCATCTTTCAATCAATTTTTTATTATCCCTTAAAAATATGGCTTCGAATGAAGATTATTCATCAAGTACATCATCTGACGGTGCAGTTTTACAAAGGCCTTCAAAAATACTGCGACTGCTATCAGACAGCGAGAAAAGTTCAATGAGTAGTAGTTTGTTGGATATAAGAGCTTCCATGGTACGTCGGCACCGAATTGAGTCTGACAGTGAAACTAGATCTGAAGATAGCGATAACAATGAAAAATTATATATGAGAAGAGTTTGAAGTGAATTGGAGTATTCCGCTAAGTAATAAAACCAGCATCACATTTTCTGATTCGTTAAGTATCAACACATGTCAGTCAGAAATTTTTTCTTGTACGGAACGACATGATTTTTATTTCCTTTTTGTTACTGATGAAATATTTGAAATTATTGCGAAGCAAACGAACATCATCTATACTACACAAAAAAAATCAGAACTGCAATTGCATCGTTTAGGTCAATGATATGAAACAAATGCTAATGAAATAAAATGTTTCTTTGGCCTAATTATATGGATGGGATTAGTGCGATTACCAAAAATTTATTTGTATTGGAGTAAATATGAAGCATGTAACCTGACACTTCCACACACAATTATGCCAAGAAATCGATTCAAATTGTTATTATGGTTTGTTCATTTCAGCAGTAGTGAAGAAAAGGATCCTAAAAATAGATTATCCAAAGTTGCTCCTATTATCAATTATTTGAGTAGTAATTTTAAGGAATATTATAAACCAGATGGGATACTATGCGTGGATGAATCCTTAGTGCCATTTCGAGGCTGCATAGTATTTCTCCAATATATAAAACAAAAATGTCGCAGATATGGCACTAAAGTTTTTAAATTATGTAGTGGGCGAGGATATACTTATTCATTTCGAATCTACACAAACAAAGATGAAAATACAAATGGAAAATCTGGAAATAAGTCGACTGAGATTGTAATGGCTCTTTGTCAAGATATTTTAGACAAAGGCCACACTATCTGCACAGGTAATTGGTTCACAAGTGTTCACCTGGCAGAAAGATTAATTGATATGCGTACACATTTATTAGGTACCATTCAAAAAAATTGCCACAGCAATCCAAAAGTATTGACCCAAAAATTAAAACGTGGAGATGTTATCACACGAGATAATAAAAATGGAGTAACTGTCTTAAAATGGAAAGGCAAAAGAGATGTGTTGATGTTATTTACAAAACATTCATCAGAAATGACAACTATACAGAAAGAAGCCGAAAATGATAATTAAATATAATTTAGGGAAATCTGCAGTTGACTTATCTGATCAAATGATTGCTTATAACTAACTCGCCATGGCGTAGAACTATAAAATGGTCCAAGAAACAGGCAATGGAACTTTTACTAAATACTTCTACTGTAAATTCAATAGTTGTATTCAAACAAGTAACCCATAAAAATATTGCAATTCCTGATTTTAGGATGAAATTAGCAATGTATCTAATGAAATACTCGGATATTGATTGTATTTTCCAAAAAAGCACACCTCATCGTGAATTAAAAAAAATCGTGGGAAATGGCAGGAAATGTAAGGCGATTTTCTAAGGCATGCTATAACAAAAATTCAAAGCAGCTAGGAAGAACTAGAGCAAAGAATTTGACTAAAAAAGTAGTGACGTATTGTTCCGATTACGTTGATTCACCTTTGCCTTGAATGTTTCAATCTGACCCATTGCAATAGCACTGATAAAATGTATATTTTTCATGTACTAATAAAATTATTTTTGTATCTTCTATATTGCATTAATTTCTTCTTATAATAACAATGGTATTATTGAAAAATTTATCAGTATCCATATTTACTATAATTTTGTACTTTTATTATTTGCTGTGTCGCCGGTCACCGGTGGCCCCCACGGTGCTGTAGCCAAGTCGAGTGCCGGTGACCCCCATGGCAGTCAACGTGTTAATCAGAGTCATATGTAGCTAGCAAACTTTTGTGTATTCAAGTGGTACCATAATTTATTTACCCTCAGCACAGCCAATATGTCCGGTTAGACTGGAATTTTCTTAAAACACATTTGGAAATGTCAGGTTTGAGTGGCAATCCTGATTAATATATAAATATCATTAAAATTATTTGATACCTAAATCTAATAACATAAACCCTAAATTCTAACGTATTTATAATGAGATAATAACATAATAAACAAGATATATGATTGCAGTGTTTAAAGTAACATGTGTACAAGAGAAATCAATGAAATTTAGTGACATTCTTCTATAGAATAAATGAATTTTGAATGTAATTGATATGTGAGGAAGTGATAGTTTGAGTGAAGGAGTGTGCGAATTGAGAGTGGGCTTTGAACGCAGACTTGTGATTTATATGAGGGTGAGCATAATCTTTGAATTATTATATGCTTACTCGACTAAACAATAGAAATATGTGGAAAGTAAGGAAAATTACTGTGAAGTATAGAAACACAGGGAAATTTAAAACTGTGTAAGTAATGAGGACAAGTTTCAGTCGTACTTGTCAAAAACTATAATATATAAAATTGACGAAAAGAAACTTAAAAACTTAATAGCGTATGCAGTCTGGCAAGTTTTGGGGGGGGGAATTAAAATGGGTTTGTACATTTCGAAATATGTGTTGATGCATAATGGATCCATTATGGTCAGTAATTTAAAATAAATTTATAGTTTTGTGAATGGATATTAATTAAATTGATATGCAGTTAATTAAAATAGAAAATTCATTGATACTGTGTTAAAAATCCAAACTTGTGCATCAAATATGTATGTGAATTGTGAAACATAATTATCACACATAATAGTGAATTTTAAATTTGTGTAACAAAGTATACAAAACCTGAAATACAGTTGTAAAAATTTTTCAAACAATGTCATAAATGTTAGTATTTAAGACATCTTTTTTTAAGTCTGTCTGCCTGTTCTATCTTAAAAAGGCTCTTATGTTATGATTTTTCCTTTTGTTTGGAATAAACAGTAGTGTAAATTTGCTATAACGTGGATTTGTAATATTTTTTAAATCCAAAATTTTTGTTTGTTACTTAGAAGGAAGTTCTTGCTATAATCAGAATTTTTATGTTTTTCGCCTGTTCAAAACAGTTGAGGAGTTCATTCCTCAAGTGTGATCTCAATTTGATGTACTAAAATTGCCAGCCTTCTTTGGAATTAGCATCAGTTTGAAAGGTGATGAAATGTATATTCTTGAAATTTTTCTGTCAATTTATATAACTAGCTGTCTCATGCTCTGAATAAACGTTTCTTTATCTTCTAACCAGGAAGTTAGAATTTGCATCTTTTATAAGTTTTAAAAGTAGTAACATTATTTTTTAATTTAGCATTTAAGCATTCATTTCAACTACTCAAAAAAAATTCTAATGTACTTTTCTGAAGGGCAGACATTAATGACAATTTTATTCTGTGCTATTGAGAAACTATTATATGAATGTAATGAATGCTATTTGCCATTAAGTCTGCATTTCTAAACTACTGTTAACATTAACCATTATCTGTTTTACCCACTGAGTACTTATAACATGGTTAATGTAACTAGTTTTTGCTGTAATGTTTTTGAGGTTCTTGTTAATAGTTTTCAAATTTAATGTTTCAGCAAGCTTGTGGATTTGAGTATACGTCAAAATTACAAAGAATGTTCCAGGACATAGGTGTCAGCAAAGATCTGAATGAACAATTTCGCAAACATCTTAGTAACTCTAATGAACCACTAGATTGTAAGTGTTTATTTTTGTTTTAAATTTCTTATTTCTACTGAATGTAGCAAACGTTATTAATTAAAGTGTGTAAGGTATGCTCTTATGTAATCGTTTCTTTTGATTTGCAATCTGAGAAGTCAGAAAAAATAGGAACATCATAGTTATTTCATTCATTTTATGAACAGATGACAAAAAGTATTTGATTGTTAAATGTAATTCTTTATATGAGGTTTGAATATTCCTTTCTTTAATTTGAAAGAAATTCTTGTCTTGCTAAATTAAGGCTGCAGAGATGGTGGATATCACATTGGCTGTAAGCTTAATAGCAAGTGATTCAGCTTAATTCTCAGATGGATATGCAGTTATCAGGTTGCCAAATATGAAATTTGTGTTTTAATGTTAAAATCATGAAAGACACATTGAAAGGGAGTATAAATAAATATTTCTCGTTAATTGAAGGATATTTTTCAGTGACAGCTAATTTGGATTTAAGATTTAAAAATATTTTATTCTGTAAACAAGATGACAATGATGTATCATTTTATTATTAAATATTTTTAAATCTGATTAATGAAAAATGGAATTCAAAACTGTCAAAGAAAATTCAAGATCACCATTAAAAATTTAAATCTTAAAATAATTCAAATGAAAATTGAGATCATGTTAATAAGGCATTTTGATGATCATTTTGAAGAAGTAGCCTATATTTATAGGATGTGCCATCAGATGATTTATTAATTTTTATTCATGAGTTAAATAAATGCCTTATTTAACGAGTTAAAGAAAAAAAGTAAGATCAGTAGTCATCTGGAAGAAAATGCAAATAATTATCCTGATTTATCTGAAATGGTGCAGAAATATCCACCAGCTAATAGCATATACTATAACACACTATTTTTAGTAGTGATACTTTTTTAAAAGAAGTACATTAGGATTTGAGTAGTTTTTGGAATAAACGGTTGCTGTTTTCATATTATAATTTATTACTATCGAAAATGAGGAAGTTTTAACAGGGTTTGTAGCGGTCCTTACAAGTGTTTATAAATCCTTATATTTGAAAATAAAATATAAAGGCCCTTATAGGTGCTTACTTTTTCTTTAAAGCCCTTATTTTTTTGTTTTTAGTGCTTATTTTTTGCTTTTAGTGCTTTTTTTTTTAATCCTTTGTTTTTAATGAACACGCATTTTTTCCCCGTACCAAAGCCGAAACTAAATAAACAACTTTTCTTCCTTATATGCAATGTCAGATGGTGAATCATACTCCCGAAAATTGCTTTCCCCCCTTCCTCTGCATTAACGTAACCTATGGTGCACGCGAGAGTACAGACAGGTGCACGTCGTTCTATTGGCCAAAGAATTGCGAAAACGTAGAAAATTCCGGTACATTCGGTATTCTTTTCCTCCCACCCAAATACTACACACGTTTGAATTTCTATCAAGATTTTATTAAATTTGCATTCTCGTTCCGCGTGGTCAGTTCATATTCGTGTTTATTATGATCGTTATACTTATATTATGAGCATATGTGTGAATATTTATAATAATATAATTGCAGTAACTGCTGAAGTATAGATAAACTTCCAAAAATGGGTGTGTTTTTACACAGATTAGCTTTCTCAGGAATAATATTCGGAATGCCTTAAATAAAAGGAAAGTAATCGAATAGTCAAAATAATTTCATTTTCTTTGCCAATACATTATACAGTACGGAGGTTGGGAGTTTCTCCGCAAAATCTCTAATATTGAAGCAGCGGACTTTTTTTTTGTCACTGTCCAATCTGGATTGAATAGGACCAAAAGTTTTTGCGGTCTACCCAACCCAAGCGAAGATTGATTCTATTCCGGAAATTCTATTCCAGTCTGTTGAAAATTAGAATCAGAAACACCCCAGATTAGTAGGTCTCTTTCTTTTCCTTTAATTCTTTCTCCGAATACCCAGGACTATTTATCCCTGCGAATACCAGCAGGTGTTGATTCCGATTGCGTAATATCACATATGGAAGAATTACGCCGCACGTATTGCGCAATAACGTTTGCGGTATTTTGCATTGGTAATTAATTTTGATGTTCAGCCTGAGATTTGTTTATGAACACTTAAAAGAGTTTTACTGTGCTTTCTAAGCAGAATATTTCTCAGTTCCGTTGGTTTTTGTATGATGCACATATCGAAATGTCGAAATCATTTATTTAGCCTAAATTTAAATCTAAAGAACGGCTACAATCTCCCCCACTCCTCTTTTTCCAGTTACTATCCGGAAAATTCGGGAATTTCCGAGTATGCTGGCTAGTTAAGCTTTTACTGTTAAAGGATGACTGAATGAAGCAATTTCCCGTCTTCTGATTTCAGAAATGTGCCTCATTTTTACTTAAATTACTTTGCTTGGGATATATGTTAAGGGAAAACTGTTATGTAAAGAAAATTTAGAAAGTGTTCAGATGTAAATTAAATTATTTAAATGTTAATATGAGTGGAAAAATAAATTGTATTTATTATTAGGTGCCAAACGAATACAATTAATATAGCTTATTATTATTTATTTTCAATATTTTCAACTGAAATATCATCATTAAATATTGTAATAAAGTTTAGTTCCGCATATTTTTTCCCCCTCTCATTGTAAACTAATTCTGTAAATTGAACTGTCATTTAAAATTAAAAAAAAAGTTAATTGTTTTCCATTGTTGAGGTAATGCTCATTCTCTTAATAAATATTGCATTGCTCATATTTTAAATTACAAGTCTAATTTTTCTTTTAAGGTTATGCAGTTGTGTATAATGTAATTAGACAGGTGCTTATTTTTTTTCTTAAAATGTGCTTGAAAAGTGCTTATAGGTGCTTATTTTTTTAACTAAAATGTGGCTATGAACCCTGTTTAACTTATTTGAAAGGAATAAAAATTAAGGGAAAAAGAAATTTCTCCTCCCTCCCTAGATATTAAATTTGTTAGCTGTATGCCTGGATGATCACATAATTTGGCTGAGTTTTGCCAAATTTTTGGCATCTGCACTGGATATGCTATGTTTGCTGGATGTTTGTTGTGGTTGTTCTTAAGACATTTTAATTACTGTAGTCTAAAATATGTGGCTGTTACTGATATTGTTTTATGAGAAACTGATACAAGCATTTTTATCTCTGATTTTCATATGACACTTGGGTAAAAAGTTTTCTTAGCAGTAATTTGTTTCACTCGTTACTTCATTTCTTATGTTCATTGGCATCTAAATTCACTAGCTCATGTGAAGGGTTAGATGTTCACTTAGCCTAGTTAGGAACTGCATAGCTTTGGTTTAAAGTCTTTTTTAAAAAAAATTCATGATTACATTATTTTTCCCTCTGTTTGAAAATCTTAAGATTTCGTCTTTGAAGGATTGGTGACCAAAACTTTCTTGTTCAAGTTGAACACTTCCATTTTTGGAAAAGAATAAGTACCATATGGAACACTTTAGTACTGTTTTCACCTGTGTATCTTTTAGCTTATCAATAACTTACTAACTTTTAATTTTTACCTAACTTAAGATGGCATACATACTTTAAGAATGATGATAGTTACTTACTTCAACCCATTGCCGGTTTTCAAGCTAAATAGAAAAACAGACCAAAATGTCTCGCAAAAGTTTCTGCCTTTGTCTTCAAAATGGGTATGCCTTCGCAAACACTCAAAATGCTTTTGCTCAAAATGTCTCTTAATGCTTTTGCCTTCAGCAAGAAAATTCATCCCCTGCCAATTTGTTTTCCATCTCTTAAGCATGGAAGATGAGATTGCTGTGAAACAGAAAGTTTACATCTATGCTTTCTCCTGAATTCGAACACAGGCCCTTTGGTAGTAAAAGTCACTAATTACTTCCCGTCTGGGTGGTGTTTATAGGAAGTCATGGCATAGAAATATATTATGGCTATGTTAATCTAGCAGTAGTCAATTATTCCTAAGTATTCTGGTATATATGTCATGTGCACATGTCAGCAGCAGAATATCTTTAGCAAAGAGATGATTTTGTCAGATGTGCTTTTTATTTTAACATAGTTGTTTCTGTTTTTCTTTTTAAGCTAAAAAACATAACTTGAAATAACTTAAAACATTTTTTCAGATTTCACTTCTTTTTACTCCCTTGTACGAAGTAAAGGAAGAACTGTAATCACGAAAAATTCCAGTCAATGAAAATATCCATTTCGACCGCTATCGAATGCAATTTAACGATGTTTTTTCATGACATGTGTACGCAAGTACAGAATAAAGTACCCTTTTTGTTTTTTTCCCAAAACAAACTATAAAACTAATTAAAAATGGATTCAGAAGAGATTTTTTTCATAGCTTTTGTATGTATGTATCTCACATAACGTAAAAGAGAGTATCATCAGAAAGTTGAAATTTTGTATACAGAACTGCTATAGAATATAGTTATGTACCTCCCTTTTTTGGTGGCAAGTGGCTGCACCAAAAGTATATATATACACACACTCTGTTACTCTGCTCACTGAGCTTAGTTTTTTTATTCTCATATGTTGGTAAATTGTGCAATTTTTGCTTTAAAAATTATTGAATTATATTGTTCTTATCTTCTCGTTAAGGTTTTTATACCTTAACTTCCATGCAATAGTTGTAGAATTAGCAGCAATTTAAAAGTGCAGTGAAACCTAATTTTTTGTGTCATAGCAGCCATATTTGTTTACATTTGAAACTTAGCAGAGTAGTGGATGTTTTAACTATATTTATGTTTTATATTTTTTTAAATTTTCAATAAAGATATTTTGAGGTTTTATATATTTTTGCCTTGTCGCAAAGTGAGAACTGAATTGAATGAGAAATATATCTAATGATATTCGAGGAAATAAGTTTAAATAAAGTGCTGGAAAAAATGAATATAATTTAATATTCTGTTCAAGGAAGTCGTGGTGTACACATCAGATTTTTTTACTTCTGATATATGAGCACTGTAATCAGAATGATACTGATTTTCATTTTATTTATTTTTATCATTGGAAATATTTTAATGAAGAATTTCTGGTTATATGCTTATATAAGTATACTTAAATGAAATGCTTAAATTTGGCATTCTAATAAATAAATCTTATTGTAAATTCCTAAAAATTTCACATTTTCTTGATGTATGAGAAAATTAATTAAATTTTAACACTAATATCAATTTTGTGACTGAAGATTTAGAATTATCTGTTGAATATAATTTTTGGTTTAAAGGAATTATAAAATTTCTCCTTTTATGCTCTGGTGGCATCGATGGCAGCAGTTGGGAATCCAGTTAATAGTTAGAAGATCTGTGGTTCAGAATAATTCAAATACATTATATCTGTCTGCATTAAATATTGGGTTTTCAAAAAACTAATTTCTCGCACTTAGTGTCAAATAAAACTAAAATTTGTCCATACAAAAACTGAACTCTCATCAGTCAAATATCTTCCATTCTATTCGATGACCTTTGGCCATCTTTCTGGTAACTTAATGATTCCTCGCTCATAAAACTGCTGGTCTTCATCAGCAAAAAACTCAACCAAGTGTGATTTGAAGTTATCGTTATCACTGAACATTTTACCATTTAATAAGTTTTGTAAACTCTGGAATAAATGATTATCTCATGGTGCAAGGTCAGGCCTATATGGGTGGTGCAACATCACCTACCAACTAAGCTCCAGTAATTTTGTGTACGTGTTGCTAAAAATGTGCGGGGTCTTGTATTGTCGTGGTGGAACATGATTCCTTTGCGATTTGCCGATTCTGGCCTTTTCTCTTTGATTGCTTCCTCCACTTACATAAGTTGTTGACAGTGAACATCAGAGTTGATTGTTCAGTTGTTTGGAAGTAGCTGAAAATGCACAACACCATTGTAATCCCAACGAATTTACATCATGATCTTTTTCTGATATATAAAACTAGGCATAATTTTTTCTGACTGAAGTGCTTAATGATTCTGTAATTTAAAATGCAAAATTCTTTGGAAAATTCTTTGAATGAATTTTTATGTTTATTAATTGGGTGTGTTTCTTTAAAGTGGTAACGTGTTTTAAAGCGTGTAATTTTTTTTAAATCAGTGGACTTCAGCATACAAGTTTTAAGCTCAGGTTCTTGGCCTTTTCAACAGTCATTAGCATTTGCTCTGCCTCAAGAGGTATGTTTATTTTGTCATTACCACTTCATAGTAGTAATCTGCATGCTGACATAAAGTAATTGTACAGAATTTCCTTAAAAATGTTAGTTATTTTATGCTTGTTTACTTGTTTGGAAGGATTCTTTTAATTGCATTATTTTGTCATGGAATACTGTGTAATCAAAATAAGTGTTAATTGTGTGATTAATTATATAATGTTATACATGTTATTTAGTAATATGGATTGGTTAATTAAACTGTGTTATAAATTTGATCATGCTTTGTCTTAGTTATAAATTAGAATCATTGGAAGAATGGTTCATGTTTAGATACTGTTTTACTTTATAATTCCAAATATTTTGTTCGCCTCGCATTGTTTGAAGTACTTATTTTTTCTTTTGCTTGATACAAATATGAAACGTGTTTTTTAAAATATAGCTGGAGCGTAGTGTACAGCGTTTTACTACATTCTACAGTGGGCAACACAGTGGCAGGAAACTTCATTGGTTGTACAATATGTCTAAAGGGGAGCTTGTAACAAATTGTTTTAAAAATCGTTACTCATTACAGGTAAAATATTATTAATATGCACATGTGTATTGTTTCTTTTAAATATTTTAATAGCATTATGCATTAATTAAGAATGTGTATTGATGCTAGTTTGGTTCACTTTAACAAGGGCCTCTAGTTTCTCTGATTCTTTCAGTAACTTTATTTACACTTCTTTTTTTTTCCCCTTTTTATGATGGCAACTATCCTTTAATTTGCAAAATAACGATTTAAGATATGTGTTGTTTTGCTTCTTTTTGAAATGCCTGGATTGTTCTGCTATTATGCTATCTTTAATATTTTCCAATTAAAGCTTTCTTGCTAATTTTTTTGTAACTTTAATAAGACAATCTTTAAAGTAACTCTAGAATATAAGCTCATTGTATGGTAATTTATAATTAATAGGGGCATTAGTTTCTCTGATCATATAAAAGATACATGTAATTTATTTGATGCATGATTGTGTAGCAGACTCTTCATTTGATATTATTTGTTTCGTATTTTATTGATAAAATTATTAAATGTTTCTAAATTATCATTATGGATTGTAAAAAATATTACCACCAAATATATGTAATATGCTGATTAAATGTTTTAAAACCAAATTGAATTGAAAAATCTAGATGTTGCTCTTACTTTTTAAATCTTAATTTCTGGGTCTCTTTCACTTAGTCGATAAGCAACTATTGCTGTGTAGTATTCTTGTGTTTGTGTAATGACAATCTTTTTCTTAAAAAGTAATTTTTTTCATAGATTCTTTTTGTAAAATATCACAATTAATATTAGTGTCAGAAAGAAAGATGTAACAGCTGTTTGGTTTATATCTAGGTATGTTTCAAGAAAAGCATTCTGTTTAGCAATTCATTAGAATTTCTGATTGTTAATAAATAATGATGCTGAGAAAATCTTGACAGAATAAAAAAAAAATGATTTGTTAAAATTAGATTTGGTTCAAAGAATGCAGCTTGAACATTTTGACCAATTAAAGTGGTGGGTATATATGTTAAATATGTGAAAAAATGGTTTATTCCTTTGTGCTCTGCTGTATAAAAAAAGTGTGTGTTAAGAATTGTTGCTTTGATGGTCCAAAAAAGTGTAATCTTCTGTGTAACATTTTAGTGCAGTCACTAGCTAGATTTGAAATTTATTATAAGTGTGTTGCCTGAGGAAATCAAATAATTTTTATCAGTTTATATGCTGGTACTTTAAACTGTCTATCAACTGTCTGTTTCAGGAATCACATATATGAAGCAAACAATGATCTGAAAATCATTGTTTGCTTTCTTTGATAAAGTTAATAAGTTTATCATTGTTAATTTATTCTTAAATTGTAAAATTAAAGTTTTTGTAAGCAGTTATTTTAAAGCATTTGAAGTGCAATTTCGAAGTAATAATATAGATAATATATAGATTTTAATGAGAGAGAACTTAGCATTATCCAAATAGGTTTGAAATATTTTATTATATAATTTCTGAATACTTTTTAAGAATTATGTATTTAGTTGTATTTTTATGTGCAATTTAACAAGCATTCAACCCATTAGAAGACTTACATTTTCGAAAAAGTTATTTTAAGTGAAAAAATGTGCTTCGTTATGAAAGTCCATAATCAGTTTAAAATAAAAGGTATTTGTAAAAATGAATAAATTAATTGTAGTTAAGAAGCATATTTAGCTTTTTAACCATGATTGCTATTAACAATTGGTGGAATAATTCTTAAAAAGTATTCCGAAATTATGTATTGTAATAAAGCCAATACATAATTATACAGCAAATACATAGTCAGAAAGAACTATTTATTGCACTGAGAAAAGCAGTAATGCCTGATTCATGTAAAGAATTTTGTATCATTTCTGGTTATGTGCAGAAAAGCGCATTTGTTCAAAAGCACATTTTAATTGATATATGCTAAATAAAGACAAGTGGGGGAAGTTTCATATTCAAAATTTGCACTCATTTGAGGCTGTGCTTCCTAATGCATATTCTAAAGCTTCTTCATTAACATGAAAAATGTGTAAAAACTAATGGAAGGATTATTTTATAAAAAGTATTGAAATGGAATTCTACATTTTAAGATACACTACCATGTTTTCATATGTGTATACTTCCATATGGGAAGAATATTCGAAATGTTTTATCTATCTAGTGAAATGAGTGAGGTAGAAATTTATGCATTTTATGCAGTGCCATACAGTTGCACAATGACATTCTGTGATCAGAAGTGTGATGCTTTGCATGGATGAAGAGATTCTATTAAAATTGTCTTTTAAATGGTTATACATCCATATGAAGAATAATACAATTCTTTTTGAATTAAATGCAGTCACTGGAATTTCAATGAGGTAGTTTTCTTTGCCATATTTCTTGTGAATTTTGTTATTTTCTGCTGTACTAAAGAGAACATTACATTTTAAATTTATCGTAAATTTTAGCTTACTGCTCAAATTAATTATACTAGTATCTTTGCTGTAAATTAGAAAAAATGCAATCCCCGATTTAAAATTATTTTTCATTTTCTTCTTAACCAGCATAAATTGGTTTTTGCTAGAGCATCATGAAGGGAAAAAAGTCATTTTTAATGTTTTGTGTTCATGAAATCATTCGTACAATTCCCTTGAACAAATAGGGCCCACCAACGGCCAAGCGGTAAAGTCGCTGAACACTGGTAGTTCGGTCCAAGGTTCGAATCCTGCGTACGGGCTGGCTGCATGGGTGTTTTCTTGGGTTTTTCATGTGTAATGTGTATACGAGCCAGTTTCCTTTAGAAAGTCCTCCACGAAGGCATCCCTCCCCTTAGGCAGATAGCCCTCGAGGCTTTGCCATAATTAAATAACCTAACCCTTGAACAAATATGTATATCATACAAGCTTAGACTGTTAGAAGTATATTTTCCCCTAACTTTCCAAGTGCAGTGTGATATGTATGGCTGTGTGTCTCTTTTATCTGTAAAAAATCAAATCAGTATTGTGCTAAAATTGTTCTGTTTGGGACAAGTTACATGCAGCTGTGTTGTATTTCCTCTCTGCTCTTACCATTGTTATATAAAAGTTTGAAAGATGGATTCCAGAGGAATTTATCATCATATCTCAAGAGACTGTCCTGTAACCATAGTTTTTTAAAATGTAGTTTCTACTGCATAACTGATTATATAAATTCAGAAAGGAGATTATGGTATTAATTATATAACTGTAGTTTGATGTCTGTGATTGAGATTTTTGTATAAAGCAGCTGTAATTGAAATTGTCTGAAACAATTTTTATACAGCAATTGTGTCTATAGTGAATTTGATTTCTGCAGATCTTGATTAGTATTAGTGGATTTTTTTTTTACATTATTGATTGTATTTTCATTCTACTCTTTTAAAAGTATACATATGTTATCTGATTGATTTCTGTGTCATATTTTGCAAAATAGAGTGCTACTTGTGTATGTTACATTTCAACTAGTACTGCGTTATGTCTGCTAGTCAGTAGAACACTAATGTAAGAAAATATACCCTGTTGAAGAGGGAAGCACACTGTATTTGTTATTTGAAATGCATTTTAACTTTTCACCTTCTGCACTTACCAAGTGTAACTTCAACTTTGCAAACTGTTACTATTCAGGGTAGCAAATGTGTTTCAAACTACACTCTATAACGAAAAAATTGACGCACCAAGGAGTTGCCCGATTTAGACAAAAATTGGTGAATAGAAGGATTATGTATAGAATAGAAGATGAGGAAAATTTCAGAAGAATTGAATGATTTAGTTCAAAGTTAATATAGTTACAAAGTAACGAGCTCAATAAGGTGTTGACCCATCTCTAGCCTGGGTGCAAGCTGCAACACAGTGTGGTATAGACTGATAAAGCTCCCAGATGGTTTCCTGCAGTATTTCATGCCAAATTTGCTCCAATTGTTGAGCTAGGTCATTAACATTCCCTCGTAGATGCAGTCGCCTTCCCACCATCTACCATACATGCTTGATGGGAGAGAGATCTGGGGATTTGGCTGGCTAAGGAAGTGTTTGACAAGCTGTAAGACAGTTCATAGCAACATGTGCCATATGTGGTCTGGCATTATCATGCTGAAAAATAAGGCCAGAGTACTGCAAAATAGAGCACAGTTGGGAGCGGGATTCGTCGCTAAAGACTGTACATCCCCAGTCAGCATCATTCCAACCTAATTGAACTAAGCACCACTGTAATGTGGCTTGACAGTGTGCTGACGTGAGTGGCAGGTGGTGTAACGGTCAGTACGAGTGTAGATTTCAGTGTCTCAGCTGTCTGTTAATGGTCATGGTGGACCTTCTTGTGCGGCTCGCACGTCTCATACTTGGTAGCGATGAATTGGTCACTGTGACAGCTGATCTGACAATCACTCTCTCCTCCCGATCTGTTGTGACCCAGGTTGACTGCTACCATCATGACGCTAAAATCGGCCCTTGTCCACCCATTCCTGCCAGCGTCTTCTAATTGTCTCATCGCTTTGTCTCGTATGGTGAGCGATTCTCTGATTTGCCTAACCCCAACCTACCTCTTTCAAATTCTCACAGTTGCTCGTAATACGCTCGAATGCTGCAGCGAGGCATTTTTTTTTTAGTCGTTGAAAGGTATCCTGAATTGCCGTGAGACAGAAATTTTTAACAACAGTTCAAGAACAGCTCCTTATAGACATCTGCTGGATGTGCAGTTCTGAGGCCCTGGAGATCACACTATTCATTCATTGAACACCAAATTTTAATCATTTGCGTATTTGGCCAAAACATTTATGCATACAAAATTTCAAAGCAATCGGTTGATTCCTTTTTGGTGTATTAATTTTTTTGTTATAGAGTGTATTAAAGTAGCAACCATATTTTGATGTAGATTTTGAATAATAATTGCTTTTGTTGTGGATATAATCCCATGCTCAGTGTTTTGTGTTTTAATAGTATGATTTCATATTTACAGTTATATGCAGAACGTGTATAATTCACCTCTAGGTCCATGATATTAACCAACACTGACTGGTGCATTCAGTGAGTTAACACACGTATAAA